TGGAGATGTCCAGCTGCCTGGGATATGGAGCTGGTGGAGAAACGGAGAAGGCTCACACCTAGGGAAGTTGAGAGCCACACAGACCTTGATGCCAAGCCCTTGCTGTCCCAGCCCTAGCCAGGCCAGGCTGGGGAGGGGTAGCAACAGGCTTTGGGCCAAGCTCCAAGGCCCTGAAGGAGGGAGGGAGGGGCCTCAGGGCCCAGCCCAGAGGAGAGCAGGCCCGAGGCTGAGCAGGAGCCCCCCAGCCAGGGCCCAGGGACTGCGCCCCGTGGCTGATGCCCCGTTGCACAAATCTTTCTCGCAGCAGTCCACGTCGACTTTTAAGATCCCAGAGTTAATGAACCCCATCAGATAGTCTGAGAAAAAGTGCCGCTTAACGAAGTCGCAGGAGGAAGCACACATCTTGTTCACAGAATGGTCCTTCCTGCCTGGAGGGAAAGAAAGAGGCACGAGGCTAAGGTCCATCTTCACCTGAGCTCTGTGTCTTCCCCTAGGACCCAGGGCCCTCCAGATCAGTTTCAGACTTGGAGACAGGGAGGAACAAGCCCGTGTTATCTTGCCTCAAACTCATGGTCTTGACCCAGGCAAGAGATCACCTCTGACCTCTCCTTATATCTACCCCCATGCCCTCACCAGATCCAGACTTACTGCTGCTGGGGTCGGTGATCCGCACGCTGGCACAAACGGTGTCGGTCGGCTGGCACTGCTTCGGGGCGCAATGGCTGGAATTGGCCAGGGTGCAGTCCTGGCACCACAGGCCATGGGCTAGGCAGGGCACAGCGAAGGGGATGACCAAAGGAACCCAGGCCTGGACAGCCAGACCCTGCACCCCCTCTTCCCCAACCTGCTGCAGCTATCATGGCAGAACCATGCCCATAGACAAGCTCCACTCCCACAAGACCCAAGTGGGCCTCCACGCTGAACCTGTGGCTGTACCTGCACATCCTGCCTCCCCCATCCTCTTATTCCTGCACACAGTACCCCCAAAGATGGGTGGTTTCCAAGACAGGAAAGGCCCACCCGACCTTTAATAGGAAGCCTGGTGGACCTCAGAGAATGAGGGAACTAACTCTACGCAGTACCAGAAGCCCGTTGGAAAGGCACTGGATGCCCTCGGGTGCGGGGAGAGCCCCGGTGGCTGGAGCTGAGATATGAGTGGTGCTCCCGC